AAAGTCAGGCCCTTGAGGCTAAAAGGATCCTGATTTGTGGCCCCCGAGCTTTCCAAAGTTAAGCCCTGCTTTACTCCATTCTAGGTTCTCTAGGTTCAATCTGCCATTAGGAAGAAAACATTAGAGTCCATATGTGTGTGTGTGTGCATGCATGTGTTGCATGTGTTGACTGTTCTGCCTAAAACTGTACACCATCTCAGGTATTTATCTCCATCAGGAACTTTCATCCCTCTGCAGCACTTTATCAGCCATTAACAGCCTCCAATTACACACGCTTCAGCAATTAAGGCCATTTCATTACCTAATATAGTCAAACCTAGTCTTATGACTGAGGGGATAATTTAGTGCCTTAAACCCAAACTCAGCATGGGATTAGAGGGGAAATCTGAGCACAACAAACAATCTTTACTGACTCTAATATACACCCATCCAACCAGGGCACAATGCTGTGAACTTTGACCTCTGAAGTGACTCTGCTATGCCCAGGTTAACGTTACACCCTGTTTTACCCCACAGCTGCGCCTCATTATTACACCCCATTAAAAAGCGGGCAGGCATCGAAGGGAAGCTTGGCAGCTTTAAAGTACGTGAGAGAGAGAGAGAGAGACAGCACAGACAGTGTGCGAGAGAGAGAGAGAGAGAGAGGATGACTAAATGCAGACAGAGGCGTTAAGCCATTAAGGACTATTGTTGGACTCAAATGGCCGTCTTATAAGATCTCTGTCAATGGGAAATGTAGCCTAATGACCTGAACAGACTTCAAAGACACACAGACACACTCAATCACAGCCTCGCTCTTACACACTAACACACACACATACACATACATAAAATGAAGAGCAAATGGAGAGTCTTTTGGTGCCTGTCCACATTTTCACTGCACTGAAGGAATGCTCGTAATATAAAGGGCTAGTAAATTACAACTGCATGTCTCTCTGTGTACTAGTTTTGCTTTTGTATACATTATAGGAAGCTTGTACAAAAGACAAATTAGCTGCAGAATGTCTATATGCTTCCAGAAATTAAAATGGAAGTGACTAATTACAAAACTGTAAAAACAAATAT